AGGCAAACTCCCAACTCTTGAGCCACGATCGCCCCAGGGGGCGATCCAGGGAGTTAACTTCTAAAAAAAGCCAGGCCAGCAAAATCTCCTTAATATTATTCTCAGTTACTTTGACACAAAGGCATCTGCTGTGATGCTTACACCTCTGATGAACTCTCACAAGTGTCAGCTTTGTTTTTATACATAGATTTTATAAATGGATATAAAAATATATGGATATTTACTAATAAATGATCATAATTATAATATTTCTGACTGAGTCAAAATGGAATTGAATCAAATCGAATCAGGACCTTGTAAATCAGAATTTAATCCGTTATAGAAATCAGTGATGATACCCAGCCCTACACACATGTGTAAAAGCACGAGTACATTTTCAGAAACTCACTGTGAGTGAATGTTGCCTTCAGTAGCCATTGTGTCTTCAGGTTCATCATCATAGTCAAATCGGTCAAGAAGTTTCTGGAGAAAAATATACATAAATGTTTTGAGGATAGGGATACAACTCCTTTTTGTCTACCCTAAAGCTGTTTACCAACCACCATTAAACAACAAAAGTGGAAATGAACACTAACAAGCAGGTTATATCACACCAATAAAATCCGTATAACATGGTGAGATTAGATGGTGCTGTACAAATGGGACAAATATGCAAAGTTGACTGCAGCCATCTAAAAAGTCTTGTATAGAATTTAGGAAAACAAGGCCCATTGTGTCTTTGGTTGAAATGCCAACCACTTGTATTTATTAAATAATTATGTAAATGAGAGCTGTGCCAGTACCTCAGCTAATGAGCTTTTCTTTTCAGTGTGTGCACTGTATGCGTTGAGCTGGGCATGTGGGATCTGAGGCCGTTTTGGTATGTTGTTTTCAGTGGTGGCTGCTAGGGTCTTATCTGCCTGCTGGATGTTCTGGAGCATCCTCTGCAGCTAGAAAGAAAAAAAAAAGGAAAACAAACAAACAAAAAAACAAAACAACAGGCGCTATTTAGACCTAACACAACATTAGTTAAACTGCTGGAGGACATAAACCACATTATTACTTACCTCCTGACCATGTGGAGACTGAAACAGCTGTGCCACAGCAGCTAAGGCATCAGGACTGGGTAGCTGGGGGACTGTAGGCATGACTGGAACATTACTGACAGGAGGCCGTGTCTCTGGTTGGGGCTCAGTAGGAACTGTTCAGATACAATAAAACAGCTTGTGTCTGCATGATGAATTAATACTAGGGATAGGAAGTGAGAATTGGTTCCCAATAGCTTAATTTCTTTGAATGTTATTCTGCTTGCCTAACAATTCCACATATTGGTTCCAGTTGCACTTCTGCTACAATCACCAGATTTCAGTTTGGATTTATTAATTTATTTTTTCAGTACCAGGAGAGGAAAATAGCAGTGCAGTCTGCAGCATGGATGTGGCCATTACCTTTATTTTTATTGCTCAAAAAGACAAAAATTCAACAGTAAACTGCATACAAGACAGAAACAACTGAAACCACCCAGACAGACAACATACTAACGTTAAGCTAGCCAAGAACAAAGAGTGATGTTAAAGGGCTGGGCTATGAATGCTGACCTCGGGCCAGTAGCCAGACTTAATGAGACTAAAATGTTGCTTAGCGATGGTGGTGACCCTCAAAACAGAGAGAATTAGCACCCAAGGAGAATCAATAAGTAATTGAATTGATAAGTGATATCAATAACTGAACTGGAATTGCTAAATTCTTAGCAATCCCCCCCCTCCCTAATTACAACATAACTTAATTTGCTCTCAGATAGTTAAAAACACTGCCCAAAGTTCCACTACCAGTTCTACTACCTTCCACTGCAGGGCGAGGTGTAATAACACCATTTGCCATATCCATTAGAGGCTGAAGGATGTCCATGTCAAACACACCATTCTTCTGCCACAGGTTAAGGACACGGACAATTTTAGTCTGATAGAGGGGGAAAAAGGAAGAAAAATCTATGAGATTCTTTTTAAAGCATTTATTGTACTTATATAAATTACTTGAAACACAAAGTACCTTGTCATCCTCTGGGCAGCGATAAAGGTTTTGAAAGGTCTCTGTGAAGTTTTTCAAGAATCTTGGACCAAATACATCCTTGTCAACACCAAACTGATGGCGTGATTGGCGAACAATGGAATCAACCACATATAAACCAGGAACTTTTAACTCGGGCTTGCACTGAAAAGAAACAAAAGAAATTACAGTCCGCATCTGTAAAATGCACTTTTATCTAAACTTGGCAACATAGTAAAGTTTAAACGGCTGAATAATACATACCTTCTTAATGAACTTTTCAACAATCTGGACAACGTGTTTGTAAAGCTAATGAGACAAAAAATAAATAAATTCAGTCACAGGATGACTATCAAAATGGTAGCATAAGACAAATAAAAACATGCTGTGTTGTGCTAAAAAATTCTCATTTACTGCATGATTTCTTTAATCAGTTGAAAGAGTCATCAAACACTTCAACTACTCTTCTCAGCTGAAGCTTCAAAAACAAAAAACCCAAAAAAAAGTGACACCTCATTTTGCCAAGAGCAAAACTTCTGATAGGGTAAAGTAGAAAACTCATTATGCTTAAAATATATGTGGAATAATAATATTCACCTCCCCAGACTTATGACAAAACCGTTTGCTCATAGTGATTGCCTGATGTTTTTATTATTATCATTATTACTATTATTATTCACACACACAGGCACAGATATAGACTAATAGAGATATAAATGAGTGTATATAAAGTCTCTACACTTAAGATATTATGATTAAAATATTAGGGGTGGGGGAAAAAAATCGATACTGTGTAGTATCGTGATATTTTGTTTGCTAATAATGTATCGATACGGGGACAGCAGAAATCGATATTTTGTTACAAAAAAAGTTTTTTGTGGAATGGAACATATCTCTTTTCTGAGCAAGAATCCTGACATTCCTTTACTGTCCAAATGTGTTTAACTTTTTTATGGCAGCAATAAACATGACAGTTTACTTATTTTAATTTAAGACATGTTTTATTTTAATTAAGTTTAAAACTTTTTTATTTAATGTAAAATTATATTTTGTTTTAATTTACTTTCAAATTCTTCAGTTGCTGAAGGGGCTGCATAGTTTTCATAAATGTCATAGTTCAGAATAGCTATAATTGTACCAGATGGTTGCGTTCAGTTAAGTTGGACTAGACTGTAATACAAACCGTTCAGTTTGTCAACAATAAAACTGAAATGAGAGAAAGACTGAGTGTGAGACTTTGATATTAGATAAAAGGAATATTGATAAAGTTTACCTTTATGTACAGAATCTGAATATCGCAAAATATTTTTAAAAAATTGCAATAATATCGTATCGTGCGTTAAGTATTGTGATAATATCGTATCGTGGGATGTATGGTGATTCCCACCTCTATAAAATATTATGATTATCATTAATTACCACACACAACTGTAGCACTTTGTTTAAAAAAAAATATTAAAAAAATAAAAATCATAAAGTCCACGTAATACCACAGCTAATACACATAAACCTACAGTGTTTGTTTGTTTGTTAAGTTTCTTTGTGTAAGAACAACAACCTCGGGTTTTGTCTAAATATTTGCTCATTATGCATGATGGTATCCAACAATAAAATTCACTTTACCTTGATAGCCTTGATGGCTGATTTTGTTACAGACATCATTTTAGCACGGGATATTGGCGGCTTCATGTCAATCATGGAGAACAACTAAGAGGTAATGAAAGAGGAAAAATGTAAAATTAGTTCATTTTAAAAGAGAAACTGGCATACAATTATACTAGATATGTGATGTCCTTTATAAAACAAAAGGACAAAATAATAATAAAATGTAGCAACAAATAGACCATTCAGTAACAGGAAAACCTCAAAACTAAAAAAAACAAAAACAAAAAAAACAGTCTTTAATAAAAGTTTGAAAATTAATATTTTCCCCTCCGGTGCTGTGATAAGTGGCGGCTTGTTACAGCAGTTCTCTTATATTTGTTTATTTAATTTATATGGATATAAAGTGATAGAGTTGATTTTCCTTTTATGGTCTAGTCAAGTCAAGTTTTGCAAATCTACTTTTGGGGTTTCTTCTCAGTGTACTATTAACAATGGAGAATCTTTACCAGCTGATCACAGTAGTTATTCTACTGAGCAAAGTGAAGACTGTTGTCCTCATGGTGACAGCAAGGTTACAGCATTTGATCTAAGTGGAGAGCTCAGAGAATAAAATATCAGGTCTGCTTAAGCTATCATCATGGTAAATGTGAGGTCCATGGACAATAAAATAAAGACAAGCTTGGTGAGGTGATTAAAACCCAGAGACAACAATGAGTGTAATATAACTTGTTTCACAGAGACAATGCCAGACTCACACTTCCCTGACCATAGTGTGAGTGAACCTGGCAGTAAGACTTTCTGAGCAGACAGTGATGTTAGTGCTGACACAGCAGTCAATCAAATGACCATATTTAAATTCTCTGTAGACTAACCTCTGCACCACTTACTGGACAGACAGCACACGACTTTCTCTAACATTGGCTTCAGGTCTGTAGCTTTTTAAAATTTTACAATATTATTTCCATCTATGAAATTGTGCTGATCTTTTTTTTTCTTTTTTACAGTTTTTACATTAATGTAAATAGTTCAGTATCTTTTTTGTACAGAACGTTTACTCCAACATGACTGTGTATTGTTAAATTTTATTTATTAATACTCTTTAATCATGTCTATGCTTTAGTATAGTACTTAATTTAGTATAATACTTAATTTTCCCCAACAAAGCAACGCTGACACAACAATATGCAAGACATCACATAAACGGCCACTTGAGTTTTCTAAAGCTGCAACAAATTTAAAGAATACACAACTCAAAAGTGTTATTTAAGTGAGCCGATAACAAACACACTTCAAGTATACAAAACATTAAATAATCCAGTAGCCTTTATGAAAAGCTTTGCTTGCTTAACTCGTTGGAAGCAACAGTAAATATCCGAACACCTTTAGGCTAATGTGTTAACGACAGCTGTATTTCACTAATTCTACAAAAGTGACGTATGTCCCTACAACAATCATTGATGGCCTGTGCATCTTTATAAATAAAGTAGAGTAGGGCTAAGTTAATAATTAAGCTATATGAGTACTAAAATCAAAGGCCGTCTAGGATTAACGTACTAGCATCAAACTACAGTTAAGCTAATGCTTAGCAGATACAATGTTTACGTTGCAACTGGACACTAAACTGGCATTATCCCCATGGTAAATAAATAATAACCACTAATATTAACTGTCAAATAAGAAAATAACTGGCATTCGTTAGCTCGGGCGTTATATTTGCTTTTGGCTCGTGGGACTTAAGTAAAACATGAAAAAACTTTACCTCCATGTTGAAGGCGTTCACTGCATCCATAACGACTGGTTAATGTTGAAAGCCGACTGACTAGTCTTTGTATTTGATTACTTTACCTTGACCATAACCACGCGCAGCTTCACCTATCTACAGCATAACAACCACGCGCATCGGGAAGCTTTATTTTCCTTTCGACGTGGACTAACCAAAGCTCAGCTAAGCTAGAAACTGCTGCTAGCTTAACGGTTCCACCCTGTAGACAGCGCCTGTGATGTCACGAGGTAATGCTGCCTTCACAGTTATCGGAAAATTTGGCGCCGTCTGTATTTTTCTACAAAAATCGTTTGGATGACTTTTGGAAGCATTTTACTAAATTAACTGATTTTCGGACCTATCATGCAAAGGCAAAATGAGTATTGTTCTGAGTTAAACTGTTCATAGGGACTTTATATATCTAGTCTATGGGCAAACCTTTGGAATGACGACCATGTGCCCAAAACTGTCAGTGTAAATTCATAGTGCCCTTTATAGACGAGAACAACTGTCCACAATCAAACAATTTCCAGTGCCATAAGTTCAGCGAGACTTATTAGAGCTGGGTTCTTTAAGTCCCTGTGTACTCTACATATTTCAGCATCTCTGCTCCTATTTTTTAACATAACTAAAATAAAGATGGAATTATATGTACTTATTAGCACACTGTTAAAAATAGCATCTAGTATACTGATATATATATTTTTAAATTTCCAATTATTTTATGAAGACCAGAGCCAATCAAGAAGTTGTTTGTAATTCAGCACGAAGCACAGCAGGTGGCGCTGATGACACGGAGTTAAGCGGCTGAAATGAGCGAGACACATTTTATTTTCGTTAATACCGTATCGATGTTGTGTGAAATAAAAGACACTGTGGAGCTATTTTTTTCTTTTAGGGAATTTTCTTTTGCTTTTCGATTTATCTCATCAAGCGTCTTGCTAATTCTTACAGTCTTATGACGAGTTCTGGATTTACGACTATATGCCTTTCCTTGATGGCACCTATTCCATAACGAGACGTTAGAATCGAAGTAAACCAACGACTGAAAAGTGCACGATTTGATAAGAAGGGACTGGTTTGTTTAAAGAGGAGGCTGCTGTTATAAATTCAATGCAGCTGGCTTCATGCCTGAAACTAAAATGTCGGATATCGTAAAGTGACTCATGATGCTGTAACGTCCCTAAAGAAAAAAAAAACTAACTAAAGTGTTACACTAAAGTGTATAGTATCTGAAAACACAATGAAAATTCAATTGCTGGGTTACAGCTCCATGAGATCCCATTAATTCCTGCTGGTGCCCCACACCCCACCCTTCCGCCCCCCAACCGATGGAACAGGAAGTTCTTCTATTATATTAAAACTTGTCTGAAGAATAAAATCCACAAAATCTCTTATAGCAATTACATTTATAGGTAAAATATAAAGTGCGTGGAACTTAAAAACATCGATCGCAGAACCAGAACGCCGCATGTCTTGAATGGCTTTACGTTGCCCCCTTGTGACCAAACCTGCAAACTGCATCCAGCCTTTAAAATACAAAACGAGTAGTACTGACAGAAGAAACAGCTGGACTTGAATCGCTAAACACACACGCGGGTGAGGATTTTACGGATATTCCTCTAAGACGATTCATGGTAGAAATAGCAGTAAATGGCTATTATTTTCTTTAGCAGATTTTTGTGAATGAGACAGTAACACGTTCCCCCTCAGATGGCTGGAATGGAGAACTCTACCAGCGGGATTATATATGAATACTATTATGATTACCTGGATCCCGTGATTGTGGATGAGAGAAAGTTAAAGTACTATAAATGTAAGTTGTTTATTTAACGCTTTACATAATTGTTCTGTCTTGCTTTTATTACACGAAGATAACACGTTTTCTATTCTCCTTTCAGATTCCGTTGTTATAATATTTTGGGTAGTCGTCATTACCTTTGTGGCATGTCTTTTTCTCACTTTGAATCTACTGTCTCGCAGTGGAAACCTACCAAAGTAAGTGTAAAGGTCAATTGCCTTTAATGCCTTTAAAGTGCGTTTTCTAACTGAAACATGTATATGTGTTTCATTATGCGTAATCCCTAAAGGGCTGCTTATACTTAAAATTGTCTTGTTGTCTTTGCAGGAATCACACGTCAACTAATTCGCTAGAGACTCGATCTTTATGAGAACATAGTGAAAAACGGAGGCGATGGACTCAAATTCAAAATGTGGTGATAATGTGCAACAGCACTAATGACATTTAAAATGAGAAGAAGTGACCATCATTCCTAACATCTCGCAAGATCACTGCAAAGTTCAAGGCTTCCTTAACCATTAAAAAAATGTTACGTAACAGCTGCTTTGAGCTTTAAACCACAGTGTGTGTGTACGTACATAAGAGCAAGGACAGCGAGAGTATATTAGGCAGCTTTGCTCCTTCCATTTTCATTTTAGTCCCATAACTTTCTGCTCAAAATTTGTACATACAGTACTTTGGAAAAGTTCTGAGCCACCTCTCATTTCTTTGCATTTTACTAGGTAAATAGGAACATGTAACAAGGCAAAACAGACTTTGTATAGTTCTAACAAGTTTTAAAGTCACCTTTTGTATGACCGACTTTTTGTAGTTTCTTTAAGAATTCTTCAGGAATGGTTCTGCAAGCTTCTTGAAGAACATTCAAAGCTCTTCATTGAGGTCCAAATCAATCCACAACTTTCATTGTGTTTTGGGATCATTGTCATGCTGAAAAATGAAGTTGTTGCCAATCAAACTCTAAAAGTACTTTACTGTGTTAATGACAAGATGTCAAATACCACAGGCTGAAGGGCAGCCCCAAACCCTGACAGAGCCTCCATTTAAAAAAAAAAAAATGGCTATAGACACTCACTGTTGTATCTCCTCCTTATATTTCCACAATGGTTTGAATGAAAAATTTTACATTTGGATTTATCACACCATAAGACCTTTTGCCACTGATTTTCAGGACAGTTCTTGTGTAACTTGTCACATCTCAGCCTTTTCACTTCATTTTCCTTCCTTAAGAATGGCTTCTTGCCAGCAACCCTTCCACTGAGACGATTTCTAAAGGTCTTGGTGAGCAGTAGATGAACAAAACTGAAGGTTTAAATGCATCTCACAGGTCCTGTGTCATGTCATTTGTTGGTTTTTTCCCCCTGTTTTGCATGAACAAGACTAAAAATTACTAGATTTCTGGTTTCTTGCAAGCAAAATATGAAGAAATGTAGGGGTGGCCCAAGACTTTGGGACAGTACTCTACATAAAAATATGAACAAAAATCTTAGATGTCTTATTTTGATACATATGTCTTTAGTTTTACACTAAAGGAAACAATATCAAGAATTCCACCTGCAAACAAACCATAGCTTAACATAAGTTATGCTTCCATCCACATGCTCTTCCTTCTTTGTGACTTCCCAATACAAGGACAATAAATACACACAAAACCAGAAGTACCAATTTTTTTTAAAGATACAATTTAAAATGAGTCTTTTGTCAAGTTGTTTGTTATGTTTAGCCAACACTAGTTTATCATTAAGTGAATTTTCTTTATACTTGAAAGATTCATAGGTCAGAATTAGGTGGCTTAACAAAAGATATTCCTATAAAAATATTAGGTACAAAGACTGGACTGAAAATGAATAATAAAGCAGCAAATTTCCAAAAAAAAAAACAAAAAACGGTGATTGAAGACACACACTTGCACGCACACTTGAGGTTAATGAGTTTAAAATAACGTTCAAATTAACAACAGATTTGTAAATCAACATTTTATGACAAGACTGTTTTACAAAAGTTTACAAAATATTTTAAGTCCATTTACAGAAAATAAATGCAGCTGAACAGAAGTATGTGAAGTTTCATTTGGTCTATTTTAAAGAACACATTAAGTGTTCACATATAATTTATATATTTAACTCTTCATGGTGATGATGTCATTACAGATGTCTCTTATGTCTGCTTTCTTCTGGGATGATTTCACTTTCTTGCATTTGGCTCCGGTCACCAAACTGACATGAGACAGGAAGAGATCAGCCGATGTGGCTCCACTCCACACCTCATGGATGTACAGTGACAGCAGAGACAATCCTGCTTCTGGAAACAAGAAAACAAGACATCAAACTCATTTACAAAACAACCTATTAAAACTTATTGTCACTTTGGGACTTTAAAGATACTGAAAAAGAAAATGTAAACATGTATTTACTTCTATATTTAAATGTATATTTTTACGTACGATGGATTCTACATCATGATTAAAATATGTTTGACAATATATATTATTATTGTAGGCTTTCTTTTTTTAGTTCATGCTTTGACAAATGTGGCAAATACAGAGTATCTAATCAATGTAGGGAATATACAGTTGAATTCATAACTTCATTTTGTTAAAAAACACCAAATATAGAATATTCAACCATTTCTTAGACCACCTGTCAAAAAAGAAAGAAAAGAATATTTAAGAAATCTCTAAAACGTGTTTAAAACTAAATATTATGCTATTTATTAGGCAAAATCCTTTGGTCCTAACAGGAGTTGTCATTCTTGCTGGCATTGCAATCTCTTTTGTTACTAAGTTAATAGTTTCCAGCTGTTCTCAAAGACTTTGTTTGTGCAAACTATCTCTGAAGGATTCAAGTCTGGACTTTGGCTTGGTCAGTCCATCAGTCTAAATTCCTTTTTCTTAGTCAAATAGTTTCTGCACAGCTTTCAAGTATGCTTGGGGTCATTGTCCTGTTGGTATGTGAGTCAAACAGTTTCTGTGCAAGAGTTTAAACTTAGATTCGTCCCTCCAAAGTACCTCTTTCCAGTTATCTACAGTCTACCATCTGTGCTCCTTGGCAAATCCGAGATGTTTCTGGATGTTTACAGGCCCCAATAATGTTTTTATACCAGCAGCTATTCTTCCTTTTAAGTCTTCTTTATTCAGTTGTCTGAATAAATTGTGGAAGTAATTGTGGAGACCTTCTCAGACTGATCTAGAAGCGTTTATCTCTACTTGAAGATCAACACTGGTCTTTCTTTTGTCTCTAGTACTTAAAATCTTAAGTTGATTCACATCCACTTCTGTAAGTTTTCATTTTCTGCTTCATTTTCTTCCTCTGGGCCTTTTCGTAAATACCAGTTCAGCAGTTGACTTCGGGGCATGCTTGACCTCACTGTGACAATAATTGCCCAGTATTGCCCTGTTTGTCTCAAAGACCATGCAGCACCACGAAGTGTAAACTTTTTCCTTTTCGGTGAGTTCTCAACATTTCACCGTTTCGAGCACGAGTGAGGAATTTCAAACATTTTTATTCCCACATTTGAGCTTCTCTGAGGAGTCAGAAATTAATCATTTAACCAGTAAAACGTTTTTTTCTCTTCTGGAATGCAAGTAAGCAACTCTAATTTATCATCTTAATAAAAAAAATAAAAATGTGCTTTACTATTGTTCCTTCCCTTTTATAAACCAGTAATTTTGAAAAGCCATGGCTAATAACAATAATTGTATTTAAGTCCTAAAAATATAATTTCAATTAAAGATATTTTGCATCCTGGCAGATTAAAAATGACAAAATAAACGACTCTGGTAATTACCAAAAGTGTAAAAGCAGTATGCTTTTGCCAGGGCTTCCATCTTTGTGTTCATCTTTTGTAAGTAATTATGTTTGTTAATCTAAGTTTCCTGCAGCAGCAGCAGCATTGTGACATCTAGGGACCGCCAATAATCTCAATTGTAAATCCTTTCATACTATATATGTTAACACTACATCCCACTTGTTTAACTGAGATAACTCATCAGTTACAATTACAGAATGAGGGTTTGGGAAAAGTAGCAGGCTCTTACCAAGTCTAGTCTGATCAAGTGTGGCCTCTGGGATGCAAGCAGAGACAACTGCCTGATGCAGCTCTGGAAGGTTGCCTTGGATCTCTAGCAAGGAGATCATAATCTTGGTGAAAAGCTGTAAGGTTCCTGCTCTTGCTGAAATGCTGGAGTGACACTGAGCTTCAAAGGCCTGATGGTAGAGCCGAAGGAGGTCCGCTTTCAAGCCAAGATCAAGCAGCACAACATCCGCAATTTTTGTGTGTTTGATCACAGCCTTTTCAAGCCAGAGCAAGAATTCTTTTGCCCTGTTTTCATCATACGAGTCCTCCACCAAGCACCTCAGGGACCACTTTGTAACCAGGTGCGCAGTAATCCTGGTCAGCCAGCTGGGATCCAGCTTGTCTGTTGGCAGAGCTGGCTGGGGTTCAGAGAGTTGGAAAGCAGGCTCCCAGTGAACAAAGATATTGGTGAGGTAAAGTTTACACTCTGTCAGAAGACTCTTATCTTCATTTTCGGTCTCTGTGTCTTCTGCCAACTTTTCTTTTCGCATATAGACGTGGGAAAGGGAGCTCTTAACTCGGGCCTTATCCTTTCTCATCCCTAAAGAGGAATATGGACAAAACGATATACAATGTGACAATGCAATATAACAAAACTCTAAATTTTCCACTTCTTTATAAACATGACACTTGTTAAGCCTGATTTTTATTGCTGTTCTTTCGTCAGCCGTTCCCTTTGCATTTACTTTTAACTCTAAGGCCAAGTTTCTGAGTTTGGCTGCAAATCAGGCACATTCATGAAACCATATAAATATCAAATATGAAGTATCTACTATTTAGAGATAGCACTTAGATTAAATAGTTATCAAAAGCTACACAAAGTAAAGATATTACAAAGTATCTTAATCACAACTGCAAACATGGGTACAAAGTGGGTCAAACCACATTTTTATGCCAGTTAGTTTCATTCAAACACCTCATATATGTTTATCATGTTCATGCTGTTAAGTTTCAACTGGTAGTTTTTTAATTAGCTGTTTAAATAAGGATTTTTTAGGGTTGAAAAATGATCAGTATCTCCTTTTCCATTATGGGCTTGGAGGATGTCCATCAAAGATTACCGTGGCAACTGTACACGAGTCTGTATATTAGAATTTGTTAAAAGCACTCACCCATCACCTCCTTCACTTTGTGCTTTTCTGACAAGGCTTGTATTTGGGTAAGAAGTTCTGTATTGTGGGACGAGGAGGCCCAGCAGTGAAGCAGAGCGAGGGCTTCGGTGCAGGACAGAGGCTGTGGGTGGAGCGTGAGCCGGTCTGCCTGTTTGCTTACATGGAGAGCAGTCGCACGATGCTTCAGCACAGAGCAAATAGTCTGTAGAAACAAGCTGAGCTGAGCAGCCTTCAAACCCAACCTGTCAGAAGGAGATGAAACAATGACATCTTTCATCAAAAGACAGTTAACATTTACTGGACATCTTAGGTTTCATCACTGCACGTGTGAATAAAAGTTTTGGGTAAAGTGCCCGAGGTGTGGACTTTCTAACAGCCCTGAATGATGGCTGAGACACGTTACCCGAGATGTCTCGTGATAGTTGACGCCACACATAAGAATTCACTGATGAGTGGCGGAGGAAGACATTTCACAAAGCTCTGAGGTTTCTCCTCAGCAGATAAGGAGGTCTTTGCTTCATCCACCTGCTTCTCCTTCTGCCCGAGGGCCGTAAACCACAGCACATGAAACAGATCGATGATGGCGCACAGCAGCTGCCAATCCAGATTCCTGCCAATTAAAAACAGACATATGTAACAAATATGTAACTGATGAAAATCATCATTAAAATATCAAAATAAAAATTAAAATATCAAAATAAAGAACCAAAATTTAACAGCAAACCTTAATTTAAGGCTCACCTTTTTTCAACTATTTGCATTATCCAGGTTAGGAGCCCAGAGGTCTTGGTGAGGTTATGCGCCGCTTTGGTCACATGAGCAGCCTGACACAACACCCTGATGATCTGTGCCTAAAAAGTGAGAAATACATGTACAAGATATTCTTATTTTTCCTGTTTGTGTACATTTCAGAGAATCACGCACCTTATCCTCAATAATGTGTTCGTTTTCAGAACTTTACGGTGGTACTTTCTGATCTCTTTCTTCATTATGTGAAGGATTTGGCTCTATAACCTACTAGTGTAATGAATAACTATCTTATTATTGGTGTTTTTCATTATACGCAGTAATAGCTGAGTAATGTGTAGTCCATTCTGCGCAGAGTTGTTATAGTTTTTTCTATTTTCTATTGAGTTTTTATCTTGTTTAGATTTTTTTAAATTCATTTTAGCTTCAATAGGTTTTCAGAGTGGGTTTGCTTGTTTCAGGTTAGTTTTTAGTCCTCAGACGTCAAATGCTGATGGGGTATTGTCGTCACCTCAGCCGGGACGAACAAGTGTGAATGCGATAACTTGAGAACGAGGTGAAGTATGAGTTCAAATCTCAGTGACCTCGACCTCAAGTTCAGAGGTCAAGTTTTCTGAAAATTCTGTGAATGCGTTAACTCAAGAAGAAAGTCACCTAGGATTTCATATTCATACAATAGGTGCATCTACTAGGAGGCTGAGGGGTAGCACTGGTAACTGCTAGTATTTTTATTATTTGAAAATGTTTAGTTTTACTTTCATTTTTATCAATTGTATCAGTTTCAGCGTTAGTTTAAGTCCTTTTCTTTATTAATATCACAGCAGTTATATGCTAATGGTAGCATTTAGTATGGCTATTACAATAAAAACAACTTTTTAAAAGCAGCTAACACAAAGTCACACATCCATAGTCACAAAAATTGATCAAGGGCTCATCAGACAACTTAATTATATTAAGTAAATAACAAATTGTGCCAAACTAACATTAATACTAAAACTAAGGATATTT